TTCTTTGTCGGATATTCAAAAACTGAATTCACAGATATTTTGGTTTAATTTCGACAGCAAGCGAACTAATTTTTAATTGCAGCGTTTTCAAATCAACAATGAATTGAATTCGTAAAAAAGAATCAAAATCACCATGCATGCAAATAAATGCACTTGATGCCTGATCGCGAGGGAAACAGTTAACGATGATGTTCCCTTGGCGGAATTCATTCAAATTCAAGGAAGGCCACTCGATCACTAATCTGCTAATCACAATTATAATAAAAACGAATTCGACCAATCAGAGGACGCAGAAATCACTATATACATGAACACTTTACCGTCAGAAAATTTTAAAAAAGATCCACTGGTCTAATTTTCATTTCAGTTGATATGGGGGCGCTACCCGCGGGACTGTTTGGATCTAATTTTCCCCAATGGATATCGGCCCAGGTTTCCTTTCGACAATGCGGATAAATTCCGTTGAGATTCGACCAAACAGCACAATCACTACTGTTGCTATACCACCAGCCTCCGCCTCTTTTTGGAGGCACACAATTGCCAGGATCTCTATCCCAGGTACCAAAAATGAGATCTTTGTGAGGATTGAGGGAGTCAGAGGAAACAGTTGAATCTGCTTAAAAAATAATAATGATAATAAATACCAAAATTCCATAATATTAGGATCAAGACAACACCTCAAACTCGATAGCTACGAATCGACGAAGTAGGGCAGATATCCAAATACAAAAGCACCTGGCAAAATAAGAAAATACTCAAATTTTATGATTTTGCTAAAGCAGAGGTCAATTAATTTTCTATCTCAAGCAGCTTAAGAAACTATCCAAGGAGCAGCGCGGACTCAACTTGGTATGGGCAGAATTAACAGCAAAACACAGTCAAACGGGCATACACTAGAACGAACCATTATTTGCAGGTTACGTGGAGTTGGGAGAAGGGATTGAATTAAAAACCAGTTTTTCATAGGATTCCAGTTGTCACTAACTTGTTAATTTGCTAAATCTGCTCAGTTTGAAATGGACATACATACGTTTAAGCAGCCTCTCTGAAGAAACACATTTTAAATGGTTTTAGCAAAACAGCTCTTAAGCTTTGGTGTGAATGGGGCAGTAGACGTCGATAGGGAAGTAATACATAAAATCGAACGATGAATGTTTAAAAAGACGGCTTACTTACTTGTCATATTGCCA